GACTATGATAGGGGCATGATAAGGGAACCCAGAGAAGGGAGCTATCGACAGACTGGGGATCACTGAACTAATCTAGAGGGATGAGTTGGATGAGAGAGTATGCTACCTTTAGGAAATCGCAAGAAGTATAGCACTCCAGAGCAGGGGTTCTCAAACCTGAGTGTGTGTCAGAAGCACCTGGAGGGCAGACTCCCAGGCTGCAACCCAAAGTTTCTTATTCAGTAGGTCTGAGGAGGGGCCCAAGAATTCCCCTTTCTAAGAAGTTCCCAGCTAATATTGAAGCCCAAGGTTCTCAAATGTGATATGCTGCTTCTGAGCTTGTGAATAACCTCTAAGCCTCATCTATAAAACAGAGATTGTAAGAGGACCAACTGCAGAAGGTTATGAGTGTTAAAAGATATATTACACATAGGCAATTAACACTCTGGTACACAGAAAGCACTTGAAAAACGGTGTTTTATTATCACTATTATTAGCTAGTGAAGTGTCGTGGGGGAGTTCTTAGCAGAGAAATAGCTGATTAGATTAGCATGAAAAAAAATTCCCTTTGTTATCCAGGGATAACAAGAATGGACTGTGGTGAGACCTGAGTCGTTAAGGAGACAGCTTAAACAGTTCTAGCAAGAGACAAGGCACTCTGCACTAAGGCTAAGGCCCTGGGAAAGGAGAGGAAATGGACTTGAGAGCTATCAGGAGGTAGAATTCAGGGAACAGGACCCATCCTAGAGGAAATTTGAACTTTTCAGGAACCTCTTTAAAAAAAAAAATACTAAAAATACTAATTTCATTTATTTATAGTTTCTTTTGATTATAAATGATAAATGATTTTTATAAAAATTCGAAGATTATGTGTAATGTAAAAAAGTAAAAATCTCTTCTAATTCCACACCCAGAGATGACTTCTGTTGACAACTTGCTTTATATGTCTCACGATTTTTCCCTGGAAATTCATATGTATTTTTTAAAGAAATTATTCCATAAAACTTTTTTCCACCTGATTTTTTTTTTTCCACTTAGCACTATGACTCAGTTCTTTCCATGTCAGTAGTTAAGAGATGACTTTACTCTTTTTAATGGCTGCACAGTATCTCTTTTTAGGGGGGTCCCAGATGTCATTCGCTGGTTCCTTATTAATGGACACTTGGGGCCTGGGAGGCTCTAGAATCAGGTTTCTCCTTGAGGGCAGAGATTTGAAAGCAGTTATCCTAAGGGCAGACACTTGTTGGAGCTTTGACCAAGTATACTGAAGCTTTCTGAGCCTCTGACCTTCCTGTTTCACAGGTGGCTACGAGACTCTAGCTTGGTGGGTCAAGTTGTTGTGCTTATTTTGGAGGTCTTTATCATTGGGCGGGTGTTGATAGGTAGCTTTTAGTTTTGCTTTTTGATAGGACACAGGTAGGAGTGTGCTGAGTGAATGTAAATTCATGCCCATTTTGGCCCTGCCTCTGGTCCATGCAGGGACTCCGACCCCCTGAGGTGGGCAGGTGGGCAATAGGGGCTTGTTGGCTCTCTTCTTATAGATGCAACCCATCCAGCCCACGCCAGCCGTGCCCCAGCCTGCTGTGGTCATCGCCAGCCCAGCCCCAGCGGCCAAGCCATCTGCCTCTGCTCCCATCCCAATTACCTGCTCAGAGACGCCCACTGTCAGCCAGTTGGTGTCCAGTAAGTGGCTCCTGGAGGAGGTTGTGGAGAAGGGGAGAGGCATTTATTCGGACACCTGACCTCTTTAGAAGCTGCTCTCCTTAATAGACTTCCTGGAGTTTAAACTGAAAGGATAAATACCCAATGCCAGGGACTGGCTTTCTTATTCCCACTCCTACTGAGCTGGATTCTAGGCATGATGATAGTGGAGGCACTTCTCTGAGAAGCCTAGCCATTGGCTGTCTCTCCTGTGATCTCTCACCTGGTATTTGAGGAATGCGTATGGCCAACAGATGTGCTTAGAGGCCAGGAATAGGGAGAATGGGGAGGGTCAGCAGTCAGAGCTGGAAGAATTTGAAAACATACCTCTATCTCCAGACAGATTGGTCCAGGCCCCCTTCCCCCGATCTTGTTTGTCTTGGAGACAGGGTTAATGAGGATCTTAAGGGTGTGCTGGCCTTTTGCTAAATGTCTTCATCTTTCTACACCAGGCCAGGACAATGGACTAGATAAGCAGTGATGATTATCTGTTTTACACACTCACCTTTGGTTTCTTCCTCTGGCCTAGAGCCACATACTCCAAGTCTGGATGAAGACGGGATCAACTTAGAAGAGATCCGGGAGTTTGCCAAGAACTTTAAGATCCGCCGGCTATCTCTGGGCCTCACTCAGACCCAGGTGGGTCAGGCTCTGACAGCGACAGAAGGCCCAGCGTACAGCCAGTCAGCCATCTGCCGGTGAGTAAGGCTGCCTGGGCAAGGTCAGCACCTACTCAGGCATCTGGTGCCACTTGGTGTTCACAGGGACCTGGGTTTCTGAACCCTTCATTTTCCCTTGTTCCTAAAGGTAGATACGAATACCTGGAGTAGCCGAAGACTGATTAGGTCCTTCCGAGGGAGGACCCTCTGATATTTATCCTCCAATCCTGAGCATTTTATATGGTCTTTTGCGGGCAGAGATTTGAAAGCGGTTATCCTAAGGGCAGACATTAATCTATTCAGGAATCCTAGAGGGAAAGGAGTACAGCTTATGAAATTAGTCACAAAAGTACAGCTTATGAAATGAGCACCAGACGCTCATTCAGTTCTTGCTTGGCTCTCAACTATACCCCACCATCACCCGTATCCTGCTCCCATCTCACCGTCTTACAAGGCATGACTCTAAAGTCATGTAGCTGATTTTTCTGTGTGCATTGTACAACCTGGTTCTGGTGTCAGTATAATAGAAGGGGTTGCAGAGGGTTTCAAACAAGAATGAGTGCATGGCTCAGGGATGGCCGAAAAGTTTCATCTGCCTTCCAATTCCATAGATAGACTAGGGTGCCTATTAGACTCAGCGCCATGTTGAGAATTCTATAGTCACATTTGGGCTCAGCCAGAAAGAGCAGTCTGACTTAGAGTTGCTGCTGTGAGAGTGAATTTGGAGGAGGACAGCACGCACGACGTCCATTTGCCGTTTCTGGAGACCTCTCAAGTATGACTCCTCAAAGGACTTCACTCATTTGGGTGTGAAAGTTCTAGACTGGTTGTTCACAAAGCAGTTGCACTGTTATCACTATACTACTGAACTGAGGCCATGGAATAGCCCGTCTGTATGACCTGGGATATAAGACAGTTTGAGGAGTCTGGGCTTGACCAAACCAGGGGGATCCTGGTCGGGGTGGCGAGGGGAACATGAATATAGTCTCACCAGCCCTGAGGAGCAGCCCCTTGAGGAGAGTGCTTATACCCAGGTGTGAGGAATAAGACATTCTCACTGTCCTTCTCTGGGTTTGGGTCATCTACAGGTTCGAGAAGCTGGACATCACGCCCAAGAGTGCCCAGAAGCTAAAGCCGGTGCTGGAGAAGTGGCTGAATGAAGCCGAACTCCGGAACCAGGAAGGCCAGCAGAACCTGATGGAGTTTGTGGGAGGTGAGCCCTCCAAGAAACGCAAACGCCGCACCTCCTTCACCCCCCAGGCCATAGAGTCTCTCAATGCCTACTTTGAGAAGAACCCACTGCCCACCGGACAGGAAATCACTGAGATTGCTAAGGAGCTCAACTATGACCGGGAGGTCGTGCGGGTCTGGTTCTGCAATCGGCGCCAGACGCTCAAGAACACCAGCAAGCTGAACGTCTTTCAGATCCCTTAGGGCTCAGCCCCCAGCCCTGTGTTCCAGCACTTTGTATTTGTCCCTTGGCAACCAGCTGCAGCCACGGCTGTGACAGCACCTGTCAATCTGCCACGTGTAGCTGTGCTTGTCCTGGGTCTTGAGACTCCACCGTGTGCATGTGTGTCAGCTGCCTTCCGTCTGTCCCCCACATATTGCACATCGTGGGGAGGGCAGAGGGGCTCACTGAGAGTGTTAGGCTCGGAGGTGATCATGCCAAGGGAGGGGATTTGGCGTGTCACTTAAAGAAGCACTTTGGTAACTTGGTTTTTGAAGGGTGAATGCTGGTGGGGAACCAGAAACTCCCCACGTTGGGGGCAGGGCTGCAGCAGCCCCTAAGAACTGACCATTAGCTCTTGTTTCAGTGGCGTTCTTTTTCCACCCTCTCTTTTCCTTTGCTCCTCTGTGTGAGCGTCACAGGTACAGCAGCTTGTCCAGGAGAACCACAGCCTCAACCCCCATTGCCCGCAGGCACACTGTCCCCTGAAAGGACCCAAGAGACACAGTTCTGAAAGGTGTGATGTGCTGCTCAGAAGGCCAGACTCAGTGTCTGCCTTGACCTCAAGTCAGAAGGTTCCACAGTCCTGGGGCCAGAACATGTCATCTCTTCTCCCGCCTCTCTCTGGTTCCTTTGGGGGAAAATTGCACTGAAGCAGAACCTTTTCTTTTGTAATCCATTTGGAAGGAAATAGCAGTGAATTCTAGTTATCTTGGGGTTGACCTGGGTCTGTGGCAGGTTAGGAACATAGTAAATAAGGTCATCCTCCCAGATTTTAATCTAATCTCTGTTAATGACCATCTCTGCCCCTCCCCCGCTTCAAAACCAAACAAACAGTGTAGGTTAAGGAACTTGCAGCCTGGAAAATCTCACTGCCCACGTAAGCAGGTACTTTGGAGAAAAATGAGGAAAGGAATGCTGACTCTTTTTCTCGTCCTTGCACTCTCCTCAACCTAGGACTGGGCCTTTTCAGAAGGGGCAAATTAAACAATAAATCAGATAGCAAGGTCCTGGGGGAACGGCCAACATCTGGAAAGAGCTGATGGCAGCCCAGGAAGGTCTCTTGGAGAAGCTGACTTGACTCTATTTTTCTTTGTAACTTTAAGCCTTGGATACTGAAAGAGAAATCTTATTTCGTCCAGAGTCTTAGACCCTGTGTTTGTGTAAACGATACCCCCAGTGTTCCACTGAACCAAGAATACCGCCGGAGCAGGATGGGTTTTGCCTCTAGAGCGGGTAACTATGGCACATCGGGGGTTGGCATCTCATCCGAGCTGCTAAGAAAGTTTCCCAGCCTCACTGCGGCTGGGCAAACCCTGGAATTCAGCATGTTCCTCCATGAAGTCAGGAGAGCTCTAAGAGGTTTCTTAGATGAGCCCAGCCTTGCTGTGTAGACCATCCCTAAAGGACCACAAGTCACAGGGGTCAGTCACCCCCTGTCTTCACTACTCTTGTCCTTTTGTAGCCAGGTCTCCAGCAACTGTTCTCCACTGTACCTCACATGATACACCCTGAGGAAGTGACTGCCAGGCAAAGGCACGTCACTGCCTCTGCTGGAGGTACAGCCACCTGCTAATCTAGCTTCCTCTGGAATGCTGCTTCCTTTCCTGCCTACAACTGATCCCTCCCAGGCCCTACAGTGCCAGCGTGGCCACCTTCTTGGTAGCCCTGCCAGTGAAAGGACAGTTGTGTGCCAAATTGCCACACACACACACTCCCACTCCACTGCACTGGGACCAAGCAAATCTGGCAGAGTGTAGTTAAGTGTGAGGAAGGCTGCCCCAGCCTTCCAGGAGAGAATGTCTCCCAGGGGAAGTCTCCACATTCAAGTTCAGGATTATCGACCTATTTCAATGAGATGATATGCTCACTAGGGAGGGGCATGATAAACAGGTTTTCAGGAATAAAGTACCAGAGTTAAGAATTCAGTGATCTATACTTCAATAAATTAGAGAGATACAGGTTTTCACCTTCAAATACTTGCATTCAGATATGCTTTCTTTTTTGAGGAGACAAGTGGGTCACAGCTGGTGCTTTGGGAATAGCACATAATTCAGGGTGTGTCCGTAGCAGTGGATATGCAGGACACCATCTGCCCTGTGTCAGAACAGGAAAAAGATAATGAACTGCTGGTCTAAATTAGGTCTGACCAATGCTTTCTCAGCTCCTCCCTTGTCTAAATCTATCTTCCTAAGGCTGGGTTAGAACTAAATCGTTTTCTCCTCTGCACAAAGGATGGGTAGGTCTTTCAGAGGAATGATACCAGGGTCAGAATATTTGTAGGCTGAATTCTCCAGGCAGCAGAGTGCAGGGTGACCCTGAAGTGTGCCCAAAGCGGAACTCACCAGCCTGTGATCTTTGCTCCTGCTTCCCCACTGTAGAGCTCCCAGGAAGCAACTGTGGCCCTGAAGTGGGTTTTCTGTTTTGTTTTTGGTAGCATCAGGCTCTAAAGGGAGTTGATATAAATTTTGTTTTGGAAGCACCTTTCTGAACTTAAAGCCAGAGCTCAGTGGCTCCTTTGCTGTGGAAAGGCAGGAGAAAGAGCAGAACTGGTTTCACTGTTTGCATGTGGTTTTTTTGTTTCCATTTTAAATGAAAGAAAGACCAAAACTTTCTATGTCCTGGTGAATTAGCTGGGGCCTTTGACCCTGCACTACACATGGTATTTTATTCGGGTGGGGTCCAGGGAAAGAATTTGGCCAAATGGATTGAGGAACACATTTGAATTCAGAATGAGAGACCCTGACATTTTTGTGTTCTTAGAAATCCAGTCACCTTCCTATGCCTAGATTCCTTTGCTGTCTCAGAAGCCAGGCTCTGACACTGAGGTTCTGGCTGGCCTCCGGACATGGGCAAAACTTGCTGAGGGCTAGAGTGAGGGGAGGGGAGGGGAGAAGCACTTGATGTAGTCGTGTGGAATAAACAGTATTTTTCTTTTGTACTGGTCTGCTGTTTCTCCTTCACCTCTCAGGGTGGGGATATCAGGGACTCATGTCAGAGGCCAAGAACTCGTTTCAGTGAGCTGACTTTGTAGCCTGGAAAATACCATTGCAAGAGGGTGAAGGTCAGTGCCATGGACTCCCACTTTAGATGGCCCTGTCCCCAGCCCTCCAGCCACAACACTCTCCATGGGGTGCAGGGTCAAGGAGATATGCCCTTTCTCTTTATAGACTACCCTCCTAGTACCTAGGACCCCAAGCCCCCTTTCTGGCCCGTCTTCTTTGGGTCCTGACAACAGACTTGCTATTGGTATGCATATTCCCAGGCCTAAGAGGTGACCAAGGGGCAGCTCTTTGTCAGAGAGCTGGGTGGGCAGAGCTTGGGTATGCAGCCTGGAGTGTCTATACATATACACAAAACCTTTAGCAGTGTGAGATGGGGCTGCATGGGGAAGAGAAGGCAGGCTATAGGCTGGGGCCCAGGACTGGGGAATAGTCTAGCATAGAACTTCAAGGAGTCTTAAAAGTTTAAATTCAAACCTGGCCTTCCAGGTTGCTACGAAGGTACATTAAACATTATAGGTGACTAGATCATTCACAATTAGCCTAGTTTATACTTAATAAAATTTAGGTACATGGTAAGTGTGTCTTCAGTTTTGCTCTTCCCCAGGCCTGCAAATATTAGAGGCAGGCCTGATACTTGCATTTAGAGCGGCTATAATAAGGGTCTCTCTCTTTGCTTGTCTACATCCTAGGAGTAGGGTTCATGCCATGCTCCCATATGGCCCTCCCCCTTCCCTCCTCCACCTACCTGGTCTTGAGGTCTGGGCTACATAATCTAAACTGGTGAGAGCAGGGCATCATCTTTGATTCTACCCAGCCAGCACTTCTGAGGCAGGCACTGTGCTGGGTTCTAGATCACGCTCCACCACACCACCTCCACCCAAAGGACAATAGATATCAAAGATTCTGATGTAAAGCTTAAGGATTAGAGGAGCTTTACAGCACTCTGAAATAATAAGGCAAAAAATTAAACAGAAGCCAACGCTTACCTCTGCATAGATCTCACAACCCTAATATTAGTTGCCCACACTAGGCTGTGATTCCTCAGTACCCAGGCCAGGGGCACAGAGTAGGTGCTTGATGACTGAATGTATTTCCTATCCTCTCCTTCAAGGCAAAAATAAGAGCTGAGACCCTGACTTCAGGCTACTAGGAGAAAACAGATACAGACGGTTCTGCTTTGCTATGCAAGATTTAGAAGGTAATATGTGGGAGTGAATGGAATCTAAGTAGCAACTGGCCCTGACTGGAGAGAGGCGGCTCCCACCAGAAGATTCAGTGGAGGCTGTTATCTCTGGCTCAGACCAATTGAGTGTGGTTTCTGGCAGTTGGCCCAGGAAGGTTTTAAAGGAAGAGCGATGAGTTTGTGGAGAAACTTTAGTTCCTATTATCAAGTCTAGGATGTTCTTTTGGGTTTCTGGACCCAATTGCAATGTATGTATTTGTGAGTGTGTGTAGGCTTCTGCACACCAATAAGCAATTCTTGGACACCAGTAGTAGGGTGTCCAAAAATTCAACTCAATTCTGACACTATCTATCTGGAGATAGCATTTGATTCTGCAGATAAAGGTCTCAGTCCCACAAGACTACCCTCCACTTCAGACACCATATCCTGTGCTTCTGACCAATCAACTTCATATTGGAGGCACCAACGACCCCCTCCATCTCAGGATGCCAGTCGCAAGTTCAGGTTGTTACCTGTGATTCTGACTAAAATCAGAGGTTCCCACAATCCCCTCCTTGGATTTGATTAATTTGCTAAAAAGGCTCACAAAACTCAGGAAAACTGTTTACTTATTAGATTACAAAGAATATTAAGGATGCAAATCAACAGCCGGATTTAGACATGCATAGAGAGAGGTCCTGAATAAAGGGCCTTCTGTCCTTGTGGAGCTTGAGGCCTGGCACAGTTGCGCTAGTAAGTGTTCTGGTTCCCCAACTTGACTCCTTCCTTTTGAGTTTTTATGGGGGCTTTATTACATAGGTATGATCTTAACTCATTGGCTGTTGGTGATTAATTCCACCTGTAGTTCCTCTCCCTGCCCCGGAAATCAGAGGGTAGCACTAAAGTTTCCAACCTTCTATTCATAGTTGGTTCCCCTGGCAACCAGCCTCCACCCTTAGGTGCTTTCCAAAAGTCATCTTCATTAACATAAACCCAGTTGTAGTGAAAAAGGGCTTATTATAAAAAAGAAGACACCCATTTAACTTTTATGGCTCAAATGTTTTACAAAATTGTATCAACAAAAGATTCTCCCAGGGCTCTTAACTCTCAGGAGATTCCAAGGCTTTGGGGAGCTGTGAGCCAGAAACTGTGGATGAAGACCAAGTATATATGAGAAGTATATTTTGGTCATCCAAATGACCAGATACATATGTTAAATAAACAAAAATTCAACCGAGTGAATTTGAAGATCTGATTGGCTTTATTCAATGATTCACGAAATTGAATCATTGCAAGGAGAAGAGTGGGGCAAGGGAGCTATTAGGGAATGAAAAGAAAGGATTTTTTTTTGGACCAGGACATCTTTTCTTTAGGGGAAGGAAAGATTTTTATCATGTAGATTGTCTTGCCTCTTCTTTCTAAGAGGATGGAGAGGGCTTCTGTGACAGATTACCTTACTGGTGCTTGACCGGAAAATTCCAGATTGGTTAAGGACAATTAAGGTTATATTTCTGGGAGAAGTTAAAACTGCAATTTGATCAGGTGTGAAATCTAAGTTTGCTATCATGGGATTTAGCTCGTATTACATCATTCGAGGCCTGCAGTTTTCTCTTTAACATATTTCTTGTAAGTCACAATATCACACATGTTCAGTGTGCTATGGAGGGCTGTGTAGGGTGAACTAATCTGTTATGAACTAGAGAAGATTTGGGCTGGTTTCTGGACTAGAGATGAGAGTTGAAGGGAACCTGAAGTTGCTTGGGACTGTGTAGGTGTGAAAACTTTTGATTTCCTTTTCTCTCAACTGCAGAGTCATTCAAAGAAGCCAGACTCGGCCCCACAGGCTGTCTGTATGTGATGTAGGAAGATGTAAAAAGTTAAAGCTAAATGGTCAGTCCCTCAGAAAAGTCTGCATGGATAATGGTTTCTTCCTGTACCTAGAGGAAAATGCCTAGTGATTGACCTAGGAACCAGCA